GAGAAAGTTGGGAATGAGCCATAAATCCACATTGTCCCTTCACATCTCCATCCTCCTACTGGAGGGAAGGGCTGGCCACAGGTCATGTTATTCCCTAAAAACTGTAAGAAGAGGGAGCCAATTCCACCAATATCCGGCTTGGAATGCTGAGGAGAAAGTTGGGAATGAGCCATAAATCCACATTGTCCCTTCACATCTCCATCCTCCTACTGGAGGGAAGGGCTGGCCACAGGTCATGTTATTCCCTAAAAACTGTTAGGAGAGGGAGCCATTTCCATCAATATCCGGCTTGGAATGTTGAGGAGAAGGTTGGGAATGAGCCATAAATCCACCTTGTCCCTTCCGATCTCCATCCTCCTGCTGGCCAGGAGGGAGTCTGAGGGTGCCCGTGGTGGGGTGGGGCTGGGGGTTGGCTTTTCCCAGGAGGTCCGTCCTCGGGATGGGGCCCCGCAGGGATCGTCGGTGGGATTCCAAAGGGTTGCCGACGGGATTTTGTGCCTCCCGCCCCAAGCCCTGCCTGCTGTTGCTCCCCCAGTACGAGAACCAGACGAAGTTGGCGCTGGTGGGGAACTGGGGCACCACGGGCCTCACGTACCCCAAGTACTCGGACGTGACGGGCCGGATCCGGCTGCCCAAGGACAGCTTCCGACCCTCCGCCGGCTGGGCCTGGGCCGGGGACTGGTTCGTCTGCCCCGAGAGGACGTGAGTGGGACATCCCAAAAAACGGAGCAGGGCCCGGGCTGGGGGTCTGGGGTGCCGTGGGGGTTCCTCAGGGTGCTCCCTCTGACGAGCCTCGGGGCTCATCCCGGAGCTCCACATGGAGAACCAGCCCCCGGAGCAGGGAAAGGTGTCGGGCTCTCCGAGGCTGAGGAGGTTTGGGAATGGGATCCCCGTGGGGCACTGGCAGGGTTTTCACTGCCTTGGGCTTGGCCTGAGGTCTCCCGGGAGCTTTGCTTGGAGTCTGAGGTGGAAGAGGTTTGGGAATGCTGGGCATGGCCCCAGGCTGTGCCCGTGCCCGGGAGGGTGGGATGGGCAATCCCGTGGGGTGTTTCCCGGGATGCAGGTTGCTCCATGGTGTGGAGGTGGGATGGGGAATCCCATGGGATGTTTCCCGGGATGCAGGTTGCTCCATAACATGGAGGGTGGGATGGGGAATCCCATGGGGTGTTTCCCGGGATGCAGGTTGCTCCATGATGTGGAGGTGGGATGGGGAATCCCATGGGATGTCTCCTGGAATGCAGATTGCTCCATGGTGTGGAAGTGGGATGTGGAATCCCATGGGATGTCTCCTGGAGTGCAGATTGCTCCATGGTGTGGAGGGTGGGATGGGCAATCCCATGGGATGTTTCCCGGGATGCAGGTTGCTCCATGATGTGGAGGTGGGATGGGCAATCCCATGGGATGTTTCCCAAGGATGCAGGTTGCTCCCTGATGTGGAGGTGGGATGGGCAATCCCATGGGATGTTTNCTCCAACCCCTGGGCTTTGAAGCTCCTGGGGGTCCCCTGGGAACACGTTTCCGGGCTGTTGACTGGGACTGGATGATCCCGAAGTTCTCTTCCCGCCGCGATTCCGTGATCCCCAAAGTTCTCCCAATTCCCGGCTGTGCTCTGTGTCCCACCTCCCCCCCTCCGGGGCACCATTCCCGAGCATCCCCGTTGATCCCCCGCGGGGGTGCTGACGGGGCCGTTCCCGGGCAGTACCCGCAGGAGGAGGCTCCGGGGCCGCGGATCCCGGCGCAGATCCGGGTGCGGCTCTGGCTCGGCCTGGCCGTGGACGAGAAGGAGTTCAACCAGTTCGCCGAGGGAAAGCTCTCCGTGTTCGCCGAGACCGTGAGTGATCCACGGGCATATCCCGGGATTTGGGCCTCCCCGGGGCGGGCGGCAGCTCCGCAGGTCACATCAATCCCTCAAAACTGGGAGGAGAGGGAGCCAATTCCACCAACATCCAGCCTGGGAGGTTGAGGAGAAGGTTGGGAATGAGCCATAAATCCACATTGTCCCTTCACATCTCCATCCTCCTGCAGGAGGGGAGGGAATGGGCTGGACCACAAGTCGTGTTATTCCCTAAAAACTGTTAGGAGAGGGAGCCAATTCCATCAATATCCAGCCTGGAATGCTGAGGAGAAAGTTGGGAATGAGCCATAAATCCACATTGTC